TACAAATTTCGAATTCGTGGACTTTTTTAAAAAGAAAAAAAGTATAGTGGATAAAAAAATCGAAAACTTTGCCGAAATCTCTCAATCTTTTTCCCTCTCGATCGAGTTAAAATTTTCCAGCCAATCCCGCGGTGCAATAACGTTCCACGCGGCGTTTTACCGCCACCTAGCTTTTATTATCCCATTCGGTTTCCATCGGTGGAAATTCTTTATTCTCGACCGTGGAGCCTTCTCGTAAAATTATCCAGAAGGTGCACGTGGATTTGTGTGCGGTTTCGTAGTGAGATTTCGATCAAAGTGTCTTGGGTCTGGGCGCAGGAAACAGGAAAATGGAAAATGGGCCACGCTGATGAGGCGAGATTCGAGGGTATTTTCTCTCTCTTTCTCGAGAGCAAGAATCGTTCGAGATGGATAATGACGTTCCTTTTTTTTAATTGGAACGCTCGCCGTGCAGTTAGTTTCGTTGTTGTACGTGGCAAAGTACAACACTTTTCATGCTTTGATATTTTGCGTACGAGGATATTCGAATTTTGATTACTACGTTAATATCAGAATATTATCAATAGGTAGTATCGTGTAATTTAAAATATAATGCGCTGGATGATTGAAAGTGCAAGCAATTATGAATGTAATTGGATATACGTGATTATACACGTATCTAAATAGAAACTAAAAGGTTGTAATTTTGATGAAGGTACTTGTTGGATACCTTTGATTAATCTTATCAATTTTACGTATTATTTTACGATTATTATTTTATAATACGAAAAAAAAAAATAAATGCGAACAAATGTAGTTAACGAAGATAATTGAGAATTAATAAAAATGTCACGAAGATACAAATTTCAATTTCAACGGATAAACCTGCACGTCCCAGGCAATTACAAAAATAATGCATTTTCCGAAAAATATAAAATTTTTATGTATAAAATTTTTGTCTAATAAAAATTTCGTATATATAAAGAATAAAAAAAAAAAAAAAAAAAAAANAAAAAAAAAAAAAAGACTACTATTCGTTACATCTGTTGAATTTATCGAATTTTAAATATTTTATTCCTTTAGTCAAAAACCGATTTATAAATGATTTTGTTTTTCGAATGGAAAGGGTTAAAAGTATACACGTTGGCCGAATTTTTTTTTTCAATAAAAAAAAAAAAAAAAAAAAAAAAGAACAGAGTTGGATTTCATTGTTGGGTGACGAGTTAACCAAACTGACCTGGTATCCCTATTACACTTGCATATAACACAGCCTCGTTGAAGTTGATTGATATTGCACACGGTTTATGCAAATTCCCTTAAAACGAGGTTCACATGTTCAAGGTTGAATCGCAAAATGGGATCGCGGGGATTCGATCGAGATAAATCCCGAGGTTGAATTCGTTACGAAATATGACCTGTTGTCGAGTTATACAGGAATATTTGTGTCCCTGTTTTCGCGATTGGAAACATAAAAAAAAAATTATACATTTTTCATTTTTTTCGACGATGCTTGTCCGATACAATTTTGGATTCAATTGTTTCGATATTTGAATACAGATATAAATATCAACGACACGTGTAGGATGGTTTTCAAAATTGGTTTTTGAAGGATGATGGTACAATCGCAAGATCGTTCATTATTATATTTCTCATTTTTCTAGAATCTTTTACAGATGGAATTTTATTTGTTATCGCGTCACATTTTTAAATTACTTCTCAAAGGGATCTTCCAGAAACGATCTACTTTCGTACAAAAATAAATATTTTCGTACGAAAAGGAGCGGTGCGAGTAAAATTTTTGCTATTATTAAAAACTTACATTGGAACACAATGGAAAATAATTTCAGTTTATTTTTTCCTCCCCTACAACTGGGATGGCAACTAAGTCGAGTCGAGATTGTCAACAATCCCCGAAAGATATATAGCACAGATCGATTTTCACGGGGATATTTCGTGTCGAAGCCATCGTTCTCGATCGATGGAGAGAGAAAGAGAGAGGAAGAGAGGGAGGGAGGGAAGGAGAGAAACGACAAAGGCCACGGATAAAAGCCCCTCTCCTCGACCGAGTTTATTTAACGTCACTTCCACGAGCTCTCCTCTCCAACAGTTGCGGAGATTCACCGTCTTCCAAAACATTTAATTTGACGTTTTCAGCTTGGAAAACGGCTTTCAAACGGGTAGAATTTCTGCAAAGGAAGTAACGTTCGCTCTCTTACTGCTTAAAACGCAGTAATCCGCGATGATGAACCGTGGAGAGGGGAGACAATTTACAATCGCGAAAGAAGGAAGCAAATTTCTTATTTCTTTATTTTCTTGCCTCTAAAAGATACTCTTCTGGATAGTCTTCAAGATAGTTGATACTTTCGCGTGAATATTTAATTAAACTTCCCTTATATTTAAGGGAATTAATATTTATATAATATTTATATATATATTTATATATATTATTATATAAATTAATATTTATATAATATTTAATTAAACTTCGCGTGAAAAATTATAACGTATATAACGTATATAAGCTTCTTCTTCGACGAAGAGAAAATTTCATAAAAAGCAAAACAACAATTATTTTTCGTTTATCGATAATTTGTCTCGAATCAATTGGACCGATTGATTGAAAAGGAAAACATTTCAAGAGATTCAAATTCTATAAATAGAAATATATATATATATAAATTCACTTAATACCATTTTCCAGAACAAACGATCCAATTAATATAAATAATAAGAAGCAATTGGCCGAATTATATTTTCAACGCAACGTTCCATAAATTTATCGGGAAGCAGTGGTTAATCACGAGCAATACAGAAGTCAGCCCGGTCGAGGAAAGGTAATAACTACCCCTTTCGAGGATGTGGTGGTGGTGGAGGAGGGGGCGATACGAAGGACAGAATCGAATCGATCCGAGTTATTGTGCTCTGCGGCGTGTATTGTGGGTGGAGAACAATCGCGGACAAACCGTGAAGACGACCGTGATGGAACTAATTGATGCGCGTAATTGAGGATTCGCCGCGGGGGAGGAGGACGTGTCGTCGGGGGGAGGGTTGCTTTCGTTTCGTTCGACGAAAGAAAGAGGAAGAAGAAGAAGAAGAAGAAGAGGGACACGTGCGCCATTGTTCGGGATCGTTGAACGCCAAGAATCGAAAATTTAAACGGGTGGATGGGAAAAGGGTCGAAAGAACGAACGAAATGGCGAGAAGATGCAAAGTAGGGACGATGGAAATAGGGTGTTGGAAAGTGGATCGAGGTTTGATATCTTATTTAAATGTGGGTATGAAGTTGAATTAGGGTCGTTAGTAATCTTGTTAAGAGCTTGCTAATTGGTTTAAAAATTAGTCCTTCGAGTTGCTGAATTTTTTTTATATCAAATTGACAGAAAATCTGACGACGAATTTTATCGACTAGTTTCTGATTCTTTTGTGAACCTAGAAAATATTCAGAAAACGATGTACGTTCATTCTCTAATTTTAATTATAATTTACTCGAGAAAAATGATAACTCTTCTTTAATCCACGTTTCTTTCTTCACCGAAGGATTAATCCATCATTATCCAAGAGGAAAGGAAGAATACGTTTTCTTCAAGTGTGGGTGGGTTTTGCGCGAGTTTCCAGCGAATGCGTTTTCGACGAAGAAACGAAGAGAGGGTAAAAAGTAGAAATCAGGTGAAAAAGAGCGGACTGGCTCTCTGGAGGAAAACGGAAGACTCGGTAGGATGGGTGCCGTTGACTTGGCAGGGGGGGAGGGGAAAAAGAGAAAGAAAGGAGACTTAGCAGAGGAGAAATTACAAAAGAAAACGGGTTCAGAAGGCGGGGAATGAAGTTTTCGAGAAAAAGCTGAGGGCTAAGTGAGTGGAGAGGAGAGTCGAGATCAAAGGAGGGGGAGGGGATACAAAGAGGGTGAAAAGGAAGTTGTAAGAATGAAAGGCAGGAAAAACTGGATGAAAAGCAAGGTGTTGGAGGATTATGCTTTTTTTCTTTTTTTTCAACTAGACGGAAAACTAATAGGTCATGGCAAAATGGAACTAATTAGCGCCGTATACCTTTGGTCAAAGGAGAGATATATATAGCAGGAAGAAGAGGGGGAAAAAAAAAAAAAAAAAAAACATCTAGATTCATCAGTTTTTCATCAGAAAATTCCAACTTCACTACCTGGAATATTTCTCTTTTCCTTGGATTATTTATTCCTTTACCAACTTTGTTCCTTGTTTACTATGAATTTTTTTAATAGCCGGAACGGAAGATTTTAAGGTTTTCCACCTTCGAGTTGGGATAAAAAGTTGTTAAATAGGTAATTATATCCAGAAAACTTTGATAAAAATTATACTTCACGTTCGAGTTTCTGTTAAAAAAAAATAAATCTCTAAAATGAGAATATTAATCGATCCTTTGCATTCAAGTAAAAAAATGGAACCGGAAATAATCATTGAGACATCCTTCTTCCAACAAATCCACATTAAATATCTATAGAAATTGCATACTATATTCGAATCAAACCTGGAAGAAGAAGAAGAAGAAGAAGAAAAACAAAGAAAAGAAAAATGGACATCGCGAGCCTCGATTTTCTAACTTTAAGTTTAACACCGATCCACTAACGCGATCAAGATCGATCTATCTTTATCGAATCAAACGAAACGAATCGTTCAACCAAGTTTCATTCTTTCCACGTACACACACACACACACACACAGCATCGATACCACGTCGTGTAAACGCACACGTTCCTTTCTGTACCACGTGCAACTGTGTCAAGTGCCTTTCACGTTTTTTCCCCTCTAACGTGTCGCGACATAATGCGAGCCTTTCCTCGATTCTTGCGAAGCCTCTTCAAAATCCTTTTCTTTCTCCCTCCTCCTTTTATTTTTTTCGCGAATATATCAATTCGATCGATAGACGAGTTTTCGTTTCTTTCTTTTTTTTTTTTTTTTTTNTTTTTTTTTTTTTTTTTTTTTAATATAAAGAGCAAATTGAATTTACGTGTCGTGGCAAATAAAAGAGTTGGTGAAAGAGCGAGGACTCACCGGTGACTGGAGCTTCGATATCGATCATAGTCTTCTCAGAGCGGAGGAGGGCGGCTCCATCGGTGACTATGCGAAGAGCCGCCGCCTCGTCGATCCTACCTTCGAGGATAAAGTGTTGCTTGAGGACTTCCGGCCGCGGCCGGTCCGTCCGCGGGTCGAACACCTCGGCCACTGTAAGTTTGTGCGACGGCGGAAAGAGCACATCTGCGAACAATGAACAACAATAAATAATAATTGTTCCAAGAACGAATGCTTCCATTCTTCGTTCAATTGTTAAAGATGATTCGCATTTTTGTGTAATTACGTATGGAAAGGGAGAGGATAGTTTGACTTTTTAGAATGTTTTTCTACTCTTCTTGAAGAAAAACTTGATTATTATTATCAATTTTCCAGATCTGTAAAAAAAAAAAAAATAAGTAAAAATACATCCGTAAATTCCGTATCTCGAGATCAGCGACGAAGTTTCACGTTTCGCAACATCGAAGGTAGTTCAAAAATTATGCTAACTTTATCGTAACCATGCATCCAACGCAATTTCCGGGAAAAAAAGCTCCAATCATCTTTCTAACTAGTGTAATCGTTCGAATGTTTCGAATAAAGAATTTTAAAATTAAAAAGAAAAAAAACTTATTTATTTATCCAAACTTAAAACCTGCAATTGAAGAAATATTACTGAAACAAAAAATGATTAGAAAATTTCATAAAAATCAATTCTTTTTCCCTTCCCAAAACAATTATCCATAAATATTTATCCCACACCTTTTTAAAGTAACTGTCAATAAAGATTATTTCTCGGCTTTTATTAGAGAATTATTCCCCTCCTCCCTCCCTCGATTACGCACGTAAATTACCAGCCTAAAATCAACTATGATTCGATCTTGTATATTATACTTTCTGCTCACCGCGTGTTTCTCGCTTGCGATAATTAACTATTGATAAATATTGATCGTGGCGCCATCGTAAGCGCCAATGTAATCAAGAACGATCACCGCTGTTATCTTTTCCAATTAATGCTACGCATACATTTCGTTCGCGGCCTCTCTTTCTTCGGGGATGATTTATAGCTCGGTTTCCCTTATCGTCGCCCATTATAAATTGCCGTTTTGTCGGTTTCAAAGAGGGAAGACAAACCATCGGTGGCACATTGTAATCCCGCTTTTCCATCGATACCATCGCCGCGTTTTCGACCACCCCAGAGATAAATCGACGCCGTTACTCGTCGTTCACCCCTTTACGAGCATCGTGACGCGACAAGGGAATTTTTTCGACAAATATTC